ACAACTGCAGCAGTTGTTTAACTACTAACACCCCCTAAACCCTAAACCCTAAACCCTAAACCCTAAACCCTAAACCCTCGACATACTCTTTTAGAGTGAAGATCAGATGAAAAGCCCTAATCCATGAAGACAGCTGATGCGGCTGCAGCTGCTGCGTTTGCTGCAGCAGCTTAATTGCTTCTGCTCTTACTATCGATGCTCCTGTCTGTACACCTGAAATTCTGCTGCTGCGTACACCACCTTTTGCTGCTGCTGCTGCTGCTGCTGCTGCTGCTGTTGCTGTTTCTGTTGATGATGATGGTGCTGCTGCTGCTGCTGCTTCTCCTGCTGCTCTTGCAGCCCGGGAGAAGCGCGGCTTCTCTCTTGCATTTGCTGCTGTTCTTGCTGCTGCTGCTGTTGCTGCTGCTGCTGCTGCTGCTGCTCCTGGTGTTGTTGCTGCTGCTGCTGCTGTTGTCTTCCTTCTAACAGCTGCTGCTGCTGCTGAAGCTTTGCTGGGTGCTGCTCGCGCTGCTGCTGCTGCGGTGACGTTGAGGTGTATGTACAGCCCAAGGCTGTGCGTACACCTCATTGCTGCTAAACCCTAAACCCTAAACCCTAAACCCTAAACCCTAGAGGAGCTGAAATGCCTCGACAGAAGTGTTTGGTATGCGCGAGGCCCCGACATTTGCGGGTTTAGGGTTTAGGGTTTAGGGTTTAGGGTTTAGGGTCTGGGGGCCCTGCAAGGGGCCCCCAAACCCTAAACCCTAGAGAAGAAACTCTCTACGCCAAGCAGAACAGAAGAAGCACAGATTAAGAAATAATGCTCATGGTTTTTGTCTGACGAAGGCTGAGGGTTTAGGGTTTAGGTTTTAGGGTTTAGGGTTTAGGGTTTTAGGGGGCGCTGTGAGGGCCCCCCTGAGGGCCCCAGGGGGGTTCAGCTATTCTTCGTGTGAATATTTCGATTGAATAAATATAAAAATGAATTTAATTTTGAAATAATTAAAATATAAATAAATGTTGCAGCCTGAGGTGTACATACACC